CTCACAGCTCAGGAGATGCCGGGGAGTGGCTGGTGGTAAGGGGGAGGCAATAGGGTTTTGCACATTCCTGAACATACTTGTATATAATTGTACATATTTTCTTTTATCATTAGTGTTTAATTAAAGCAGTCTAGTTTAGTTTTCAATTCAGGGAGTCGCTCTCTCCTTCATTTTCTCTCTCCTTCCCTACCTGGGAGAGGGGGGAGGGGGTCAAGAGCATTATTGTCTCTGGTTCAGTTGCCGATCCTGAGTCAAACCATGACAATAATTTATTGGCGCCCAACATAGGGCTCGATTTTAAGCCCAGGCTATAACTTCTCACTAATTGGTTAATGTTTAAAATTCCATCTCTGATGGGAGGAATCCCTCAGACAGCTTTGGGCAATGGTGAGGAGGAGAGATTATTTTACAGTGACTTAATGAAATTCTCCCATTCAACTTTTCATCTCTTGATTTTTGCCTCTCTCCCAACATATCAATTCTGAAGGCTTTTTTACATGGGTGGAATAGAGGTCACAGACAAGAACAGCAAGCACTAGATAAGTATACCTACCCATACACTCACATCCCCATGTCCAGGAGATTGTGAATTTAGAACGTTGTCAACAGTATTCAAGAGTCTCATAGTCTGGGGACTGCTCACTCAGCCCCCTGCAGTGCAATTCCCCACGTGATTTTTTATATAGACATATTTGCACTACTTCAGGGAGGACAATTCACAGATAACTTAGGCTAAACCAAGAGAGAGAGCCAAATCAGTCAGTACTATAGTTGCATCACCCAGGCCAGGGTACAGGAAAATTTGCCTAACTCAGAAGCAGAGTTTAATTTTCAAACTTTATGACTGGACTAACAGCAGTTCAGTTCTTGATACTCAAGCCAATTCCTGCACATAATTTGTGTAGATGCAACTGCAGGCTCACAGCTTGCAGCCAAGTCCCACTGGGTGATAGAGACACGAAGCCACAGCAAAAAATGCCTCTGCTCTGTGCGTGGATTCGAGCACCGCGCACCGGGTACACGGATCCCGCTTGGGGCAGCAATTCCCGGATCCCGCTGCACCGGAGCCCTCCAGCAGCAGCCCCGCGGCACGGACGGCTGAGC